CTATATTTTAAAAATTATTATTTTCAAAAGTTTAGTCCAGCCGTCTATAATCCAAATTCAACTTACAATATACAGCGATATGAACAAAGACACAACTTCGTTAATCAAATCTTACCTGCCGTTGGTGGCAATACAGGACTCGCCAATGGTGTGTTGTTATTTTCCCTCGCATTCATATTGACACCTTCAACAGATGTAAAGTACATATCACACTAATGGAAAGAAAAATACGATCGTTAGTAGTACATTTTATAGCTATTTATAGCTATAACATTTTTTTCCTTTCACATCTAACAACTTAGGAAGTGGAATATATTGTAAGTCGTGAAACAAATTCTAGATTAGAAGCATCTGAACCGCTATGATACAGCTTCACTTAGATTAAATTATATTCAGAGTTGGAGGCCGAACAAGTAGGCATACTTCAATGCACATACATGTAAAATATCAAACGGAATTGGCCTATACCTTGCTTGATATCAACTTTAAACGTGGTGCTGTCATAGTGTGAACGAGGTTCCCGTTGACGAGAAGTCGGATTTCAATTGAGTCTGGTGTGAACGCAAGTATATACGGGAATGCACAAACTGGTGACAAATGAAATATACAACAAATGTGATACATAATTTTTACTTATGACAATGATGAAGTAGTGGTTCTGATTTATCAATATAGGACTTATTCAATTAATGATGTATGTATCTGCCACCCTGACTCACACAAAATTTAGTATTAGTAATTCAAATAAAGTATATTGCTGATATAATTGACAATCGTTTAACAATGAAGATGATAGTCATGATGTTGCTATTACAGTAAAATGCCAATAAAGAAGTCATGTTTGCTGCCACCTACCGACTGACTGTGGTGCCGAATTCCAGTAGATGTCAAACTCTGACGAAGATTCGCCAGTCAATAACTTGAACTGGGATACATCTAAAATATAATTTCATCAAGTTTGGTTGAATATTTTAAAAGTTACTTACATTTTTGTGTTACATGTGAAACTGAAAACCTAATTTTTCCACGGAGTGCGGGGGCGTGAATTCAATCGATTACCGTAAATCATATTCTTTACTCTAGTAAGGCCTATATTAGACTTTTAATTGGCTTTTACAATTATGATACAGCGAACTCATAACAATTTTCACAGGATATTAAGCTATCAGTCGAAATTCTTTAAACTGCGTGCTTAATTTTAGTTATGATTACGGAATAGAGTATAACGTACTGGCCAATTAGCTGCTTTCGGACGTGTAACTATTTTTCTAGGCTATACCATAATGTCATGCTAATTATCAAAATCAATAATACAGTACCTATGCAACTTATATAACAGGCATATATAACTCATAGAATAAAACATGGAGTCGTTCACACTTACGATTATAAGTGAGTAATAACTCGGGCTCATCATCTTCATACATGTCGACTGCTGACACCAGATCGACCTATTGATAAGGCCAAAATATTAATAACAATAACTGTACCAGTAATAATACCACTATATTTAACGATGTTAACTATAACTATTATAAGAATACCAACAACTGTTAAAAACAAACACAAACAACAGCACCCAACACCCACCATCCAACAACCGTCATATTTCACCAACTACAAACCACCAACAACCCAATAACTAACAACCAACAACCAATCAAACACCACCGAAACCCAATCAAACACAACCACCACCAACAACAACCAGCAGTGACGGTTTCAGAGATGTCCGAAAGGGGGAGGAAAAATGACCTCTGAGGCGTTTTGGACAATCAATAATTTCTTTTTCTTTCTTTTCCCCCCTTTTTTTTAACCTTAAAATAAAAAAAAAAGGGGGGGGGGGGAAAGCTAAATCCACCCCTGCAGCTCCAACAAAAACAACAACAAACAAAAACACTGACATTAAATAATAGAGTGAAGTTTTATATAATCTTCAAAGGATACATACATTGGTATACAATTACTATTTCTCAAATCCTTAATAGGCCTATAATTATGATATGAATTATTAATGAATAT